AAGTGTATAATACCACATCTGACTGTTATTATAGATAGGCAAAAAATAATCGATACTTTATTCACATTTAAATGTGTGTAAATATGTGTTTGATATGATTACAATGTGTACAGAGGTCTAGTTTACTAAATTTGCAAATGCAATAAAAAATTAAATAAATATGAGGGTAAGAAAAACCTGTCCTCTCCCGCAAGGTCACACAGATAAACGAAGGCTGAATGTACATGTCCACCCAGAGACACACACTGGCACATGGCCACCATTCTGCAGGGAAGATGCAGACATGGGAGGACACACAACAGCCCTACTTCTACAAAGCATGACACAGCGAGACCTGTGCTACTGAGGCCAAGGGCAATGTCTGTAGCACAGGCCTGGGCCAGCTGGCAAAGAAAATGCTCCATGTCACCACTTTGTGGTGGGCACATATGTGTGCACATCTGTAAGAACACATGAACCATACCTTTAGGCTATATAGCAAGTCCAAGGCCAATTGGGCTATATGACGAAACGGTTTTAAAGATCCAGAAAAAGTGCCGGGTACAGTGGTGTACACCTGTAATCCCAGCCCTCGGGAGGCTGAGGAAGGAGGACTGCAGTGAGTTCTTGGCCAAACTGGGCTACATAGTTCAGGGCCAGCTTGAAGTACAAAGCGAGATCCTGTCATTAAAATAAATAAATAAATAAATAAATCCACAAAAAAAAAAAACACACTGAAAATCAAGTACCAAACCAGTAAATCCATAAAAAGAAAAATTATATAGAAGCTTAAATTAAAAAGCTTAATGAAAACAAATTTGTTTCCCAAATTTTTAACTTTAAAAATATACATATTAGGGCCGGGGATTTAGCTCAGTGGTTCTGCCACCGGCCTTGCAAGCACAAGGTCCTGAGTTTGATTCCAGGTACAAAAAAAAACAAAAACAAAAAAAAACTATCTATTTATCTGTATGTTTGTTTGTTTGTTTGGTTTTTTTGGTACTAGGGATCGAACTTGGGTCCTTGTGCTAGCGAGGCAGGCGACAGAAACACTGAGCCAAATCCTGGCCCTTATCTGTCTGTTATGTATAAATTTTAAAAATTCTTGGAGCCAGGGATAGTGGCACACACTGTAATCTCAGCACTCTGGCAAACTGAGGCAGAAGGATCACAAGTTCAAGCCCACCAAGAATCAACAAATAATTATATCAGAGTACAGAAACAACCTACGAAAGAGAAAAATACTTTTACCAGCTTTTCCATGGGTAGAGGACTAAGGTCAAGAATATATAGAGAACTCAAAAAAATTAGACCCCCCCCCAAATAAAAGACGCAGTCAAAAAAATGGGCAACTGAGGGCCAGGGATTTGGCTCAGTGGTTCCGCTGCCTGCCTTGCAACTGCAAGGGCCCGAGTTCAATCCCCGGTACCAAAACCAAAACCAAAATACTGTTGGGCTGGGGATTTAGCTCAGCGGTTTGGTGGCCTGCCTTGCAAGCACAAAGACCCAAGTTCAATTCCTGGTACCAAAAAAAAAAAAAAAAGTACATCACTGGGGACCAAGCTCAGGGGTGCCGAAGCCTGCCTTGCAAGTGCAAGCAAGGTCCCGAGTTCTAGGTCAGTCTCAACTACATAGTGAGACCCTGTCTCAAAAAAACAAAAAAAAAGTACATGGAGGGACCAGGCACTGGGTGTTTAGCCTCACAAGTGCAAGGTCCTGAGTTCGATCTCCTGTACCAAAACAAACGAACAACAAAAAACAAAAAAAACTACACTGAGATACCAATTTACCCCAGAAAGAACGTCACTGTCAAAAATCTAATAACAAGTTCTGGAGAGGATGTGGGGAAAAACTCTTCTGCATTGTTGGTGGGAATGCAAAGTGGTACAACCATTCTGGAAATCAGTGTGGAGATTCCTCAAAAACCTAAAAATAGAAATTCCATTTGGCTCAGCTATCATGCCCTTCCTAGGTATCTTCCCAAGAGAGCTAAAGTCATTATATTACAGGAATACATGTACACCCATGTTTATAGCAGCACAAGTTATATAACAGGTAGATCTTGGAAACAGGGTGTATGTCCAACAACAGACGAATGGGTAAGGATATTATAGTATTTGTACACCACGGGGATCAAACCCGTTGAGTACTATGCTTCCATAAAGATAAAATCTGAAGCACTTATAGGTAAATGGATGCAACCTGAGAACTTAATGTTAAGTGAAATAAGTCAGACACACAAGCTCAAGCATCACATAGTTTCTCCTACATAAGTAACACAAAATTTATAAAAATATACAAATAAAAACAGAAAACATAAATAGGACGTAAAGAGATGTTCAAATACTTTACCAAATTACCTAAGTTGTTTCAAAAATATTTTAATACATATGCTAATTTGTTTCATTTATACTATTAGTTTATCTTGAATTATTGAAAAGAAACTTACATTATCACCTGTTTGCTTCTTTTTTTAAGAATCCTTTTGGTTTATGTCTTGTACTGTAAGTAACTACTTTGGAGATAACAATACACAATGTATTAACTATTATTATTCTCTTATTTTATTAAAATTTTTTTCATTAAAAAACAAAAAGGCCAGGAATATGGCTTAGTGGTGCTGCAACTGCATGTAAATTGCAAGGTCTTGAGTTCAATCCCCAGTTAAAAAAAAAAGACACCTGGGCAACTTACTTAGACCCTGTTTCAGAATGAAAGATTAAAAGCGGGGGGGATGATGATGTCACTCTGCAATGGCTCTTAGTTCAATCCCCAGTATTGTGAAAAAAAATCTTGGGCATACCTCAGTGGTAGAGCACTTTCTTGATATGTGTGAGGCCCTCGGTTTGATCCCCAGTATGACAAAAATAAGTCTTTCTCTATGTGAAACCTCCAGGTGCTCTGAGCAACTGGGCAGGAGACACCGGGCTGCCAAAGGTTTCCAGTGTGAAGTCTGGGGGTCCACAGCAAGTGGTGAGAATGGAGCCAGGACAGATGCACCCATGGTGACTTCTTTGGAAAAGACAGCAGCACTGGTGACAGAGCAGTGTGACCTGAGGTGACCAGTCTCCTAACAGGAGCCAAGAGCAGGTTCCAGGCCTCACCCTTAGAATTACAGCAGCAGGGATAGGTCCTTCATGCTCTTGAAGAGGAATGGGGAGAGCAGCAAGTATACAAACAGATGTCCAGTGTCCCCAAAATACAGACTTCGGAGGTGAAAAGTGCCCAAGATCCCCTGGGGGACGGCAGGGGGACTATGCTTACATAGGGCCACAACAGCCGTGGGGTTAAGAGCCCCTGGCTCCTCCAGCTCTGGTCTTCCCAGTGCTGATGACAGGGACTGGGGCAGGGCTTGGCTTGGTGACTCATCTGGCAGGGATCTGGTGGCATCCTTAGAGGCTTTCCCAGGACATCCTGATCATAGCTGGATCTTCAGGGGAGGGGTAACTTCTTCTTCCTGTGACAATTTTTGCCCAGTGACATTGGAACTGCACATCTCTGACCAATTTCACTTGCCTCATGGAAAACTTCTTTTGTTGTTATTTTTGGTACTAGGTATTGAACCCAGGGCCTAAACTACATCCCTTGCCCCTAGAAAACTCTTCTTGAGGTGTGGCCAAGTCCTTCCTCTTAGGACTCTTCTTTCCGTTATACTCAGCAGATGCTACAGATGTCTCCATGTCCAAGGCAAAGAGATGAATTCACAGGAAAACTCAGCTCTCAAAGCCCTCTGGGCAGATGTAGGCTCCTGCTGACAGCATCCCTGCCTGCACACCACTGTCCACCCCAAGTGGCCCCTCAAGAGGCAACAGTGCAGCAAAGCTGGAGCTGGGGCTGAGGTAATATAGACTCCTCATCCACTACTGGCTACCTACAACTCAGGGCCGGTCTGAGAAAGAAAAATGGCCAGGTGTGCCTGCAGATGAGGCTCAGAATGGCTGGACATAACAGATGGAACGGGCCTCTGAGCAATCTGGTACCTAAGATACAGGAAAAACAGGAAGAGCCAATAAAGCTGACTGGCAGCTGGGAGGAAAATCCAGAGAGCACAGGCCAGGAGCAATCAGGAAAGGAAAGGGCAGAGGTCCGGAGGAGTGGCTGCTCTCGTGCAGTCTGACAGTAACTCTGCACCAGAAGCCCTGGTTTACCAAGGATGTGAGCTTTGTTAGGTCCACTGTGGGTGGACAGACAGTTAAGCACCTCATGTCCCCAAGCTTACCACACTCATGGTGAAGTGCAGTGTGGTACAGCTGCCCTCACAGATCACTGATCCCTAGAGGGGTGTCCCAACCACACCCATATGTCCACATCACACCCACTGACAATGCTACCTAATCTTCACGACAGACACTAAAGCCCTCGCTGTTCAAAAGCAAAGTGCTGGCTCAGAGCTTCTGACCGACCACATCCCACAAGCCTGGGGGCCACAAAACAAGGCTGCCTCGTGGCCCTTGCCTTGATGGGCCTTGGGCACATTGCTCCACCTCTGTCCCCACCACAGCATCAGATAGTCCCTGATAGCAGAAAGCACCTAGGCTAAGGACCAGAGGAGCAACAAGAGAGATCAGTCTGATGTTCAGAAAACTCAGAACAAACAAATGAACTCTAGAGTCAGCTGTGTCATACACTAGAGAACAGCGCCAGGGACCATGCAATCCAGGCAAGGACCACCCTCGTGACTGGTCTGGTGCAGAGAATCCTGGGAAGTGAAGTCACAGGTGGCCACTGGATATCCACCTGGCGTCCTGAAGTGGTTTAAATATTTTTAAAATGTTAGTATCAATGCCACTCTAGAACAGCGCCAGCTCAGAGGGCCACCCAGGAGGTGCTAGAGCACATTCCTGTCTCTGCAGTGCAAGCTGTGGCCAGGGTCCTAGTGACCATTCCTGGGCAGGGAACACCATGTGGCTCCAAGGGTACCTCTGACAGTTGATACCTCAGAAACACAAGCAGGAGGCAAGGAGCCCTGGCAACCTGAGGACAATAAGGACAACCCACCCTCCATGCCAGACACCAGTTACCTCTTGGTGTTATAGGCTGTGTCCTGAGGTGTTTCTTCCAGGAGAGTCACATAGCCCAGTGCACAGGTGAGGATGAACAACACAGTTAAGGTATGGGCTCGCCTGCAATCCAAAAACATACAGGCAGGGTCAGAGCACAAACCACATCACCAAATTCTCACATGACATGCACCAAATCTCCCTGTACAGGACAGGGTCCCGGCTGGATGCTAAAAGGCCCTGTATATCTTCACTCCACAGTACTCACAGCATGGACAGATGTTAACTTCAGTTAAAGTTAAAGCTTGTCTTAAGAGCCGGGGATTTAGCTTAGTGGTGCTGCCGCCTGCCTTGCAAGTGCAAGGGCCTGAGTTTGATCCCCAGCACAAAACAAAAATTAAGTTAAATTAAAGCTTGTCTTAAAAAGGATTTCAATGCTTTGTTTGTTTTGTTTTTTTGTTTTTTATTACCGGGGATCAGACTCGGGCCCTTGCGCTTGCGAGGCAGGTGGTGGAATCTCTGAGCCAGATCCCCAGCCCAATGCTTTGGTTTTTGTTTGTTTCACTATTCCTTTCCACTAACAGTGATCTTATAGTCTTTCCAGTGGTCAGCTAGCTAGGGAAGCTCTGATCATCCACTGAGCCTCATAAGGAGTACAATCTTTTTTTTTTTTTTAGACAAGGTCTCACTATGAAGTTCAGGCTGGTCTCGAACTCACAGCAATCCTCTTGCCTCAGTCTCCCAAGTGCTGAGATTACAGGAATGTGCCACTATGCTCAGCGGGACCCCAATATTTGCATTTGCTAAAAACACAAAGATTGAGCTGGACGTGGTGGCACAGGCCTGTAATCCTGGCACTCAGGAGGTTGAGGCATGAGGATCCTGAGGTCAAGGCTAGCCTGGGTTACACAGCAAGTTCGAGGCCAGCCTGAAGTACATAAGACTCTGCCTTAAGCCCTTCTTCAGTAAAACCCCATGAAGATCATCTAAAATCTGGGCAAGGTGGTACACATCCATAATCTCAACACTCTGGGAGGCTGAACTGGAAGGATTGCAAGTTCAAGCCCAACCTGGGCCATTTAGCAACATAGTAGGACCCTGTCTCGAAATAAAAAATACAAAGGGCTGGGGATATAGCTCAGTGCAAAGGCCTTGGGTTCAAGGTATTGCAAAACAAACCAACTAACCAAACAAATGAACAAACAAAACACCTAGAAAATAAATAACTTTTTGCCTTTTGAGGTAAATGTTCACCCTGTCACTCAAGAAGTCAGAGTGCCTGGACCCTCTGGCTCTGGGGAAGCAGAAGCAGGAATAAGGAGGACCCAATTCTATCCTTTCCACAGCAAGTAGAAGGACAGTGGGTCAGACAAGCAGCACATCAGACTTACAGAAGGACAGACTTCAAAACTGTAGAATCAACTTCTGCTGGAAAGCAAATCCATCTCATTGTTTCTTGCCTGCACACAGAATATGTGCATCTACACACATGGAAATAAATGAATGACTCCTGAGATGGGCACCCCTGCCCCACCTAAGAGACAGGTGTGCACAATGGCATCTCTTTTCACCTTCCCTGTTTGCCCTGGTCCTGCAGTATCCTGGTCTGTGTCTCATGATTAGGCTCAGAACTAGTCACTCTATAAGGGGAGGGCATGAGGACTGGGTCCCTTACAGGAGTGGAAAATATCCAGTTGTCTCTCTTTAGAGATGACCACACTCATCACGCTGAATGGTAGGAAGGCAGGTTTGCCAAGACCAATGAGGAGAGCATGAAGGCACTGCCAAGAAAAAGTCAGGCTTGCCCAATGCCTGCAAGAGGCTCCCAGGCTGTGACACTGCTCTTCTGGCCCAATGGCCAGGAAGACCAAAAAGACATCAATTGGCCAGTCATGCTTCCCAGATGTGGGCAAAGCTGGGAAAGCCCTAACCCACAGGGGCTGAGAACGTCATCTTCTGGAAGCTGGGGTACCTAAGATCACCGAGGTACTTTTGAGGCTGCAGGGCCAAATAAGATACGGATACAACGGAGTCCCAAGTCATGGAGAAGGCTCACTAGAGCACCAAGTTCTAAGACACAAGATAAAAATTCTCAATGTGTCCAGACCTCACTCTGGTGGTAGCTGTTTAGAGTGTGGGTACCCACAGTGCTTCATCATCAGGGACAATGTTCACATATGTCTCTCCAGGGTGATGGTCTGCAAAGTTCTTCAGATCAATTTTATTTATTTTTAATTTTTAAATTTTTGGTACTGGGGATCAAACTCAAGACTGCACTTGAGAGACAGGTGACACCACCACTGGGCCAAATCCCTGGCCCTCAGACAAGTTTTAAAGGTGTGGTGGACCGAGCTTCGTGCAATGCCTCTGAGTATGTGGCCCTAACATTCCCAGAGCTTCTCTACTGGACAGCCACATCACACTATAATGGTGCAGGAGGCAGAACCCTTGCCACCTGTGACCCAAATTGCAGGTCCCGTGGCTAATAAGTAATTACCAAAACTCAAAACCTGGCCAGGGATGTAGCTTAGTGGCACAGCACCTGCCTGGCAAGCATGAGGTCCTGAGCTCAATCCCCCGTACAAAAAAAAAAGTAATAAAACCCAAATCTTTGCACATACCAGCTGTCACTGGCTCCAAAGGAGCTCAACTGTCTTTGAAAATAAAGTCTAAATACAAGGCTTTGGATTACACAAAAGTTTCCTTTGGCTCCACAGTGTGGTATACACTCATTATCCCAGGACTGGGAGGCAAAGGCAGAAAGATCACAAGTTTGAGTCCCACTTGGGCAACTTATCCAGATCCTATCTCAAAATAAAAAAGAAAAAAGGCTGGGGATGTAGCTCAGTGTGAATACCCTGGGTCCAATCCTCAGTACTGAAAGTGTCACAATGTGTAACTGTGGTGGCACAGAGGATGGAAAAATTACAGTAGTCAGGAGACGAGACTTGTCCCAGAGGGGCCATCTCTACAGAGAACACCCAGTGTAAAGGACACTCCCAGGTAACAGTTTTTATTTAGAATCTCAGCATAAGAGGAAAAACAGGAAAAAAGCAGTTTATGCAAGGAACTGTCTCAAGGCTAGGCAGTTTGCTGAGGAAAAGGGAAGGACAATGGTCAGACACAGCATGCTTCACCATCTAAACTTATTTAACCATTCACTCCTCAGAGAGCCCGGGTACTTTTGCCCTATAGGTTAACCATTTAGTCCTTGGCCATGTCCCCACACTAAAGAAAAACAATTTCTTCTGTTAATTTTGGAACTTAGTCATTTCTACAAACATACATTTTTTGAGTTTCACTGGAAAAGGTGATGCTTGAGACAAGGTCTTACTACTAAATAGTCCAGGCTGGTCTGGCCTTAAACTCAAAATCCTCCTTTCTCAGCCTCCCATGTGTTGAGATAACAGGCCACCAATGGCCCATAAGTTATTTTTATTTCATGTTAACTTTTATAACATTCATTATTAATGTCCTATAAAACACAGGCTAGGGATGTAGCTCAGTATAAAACATTTACATAATATGCAAGAGAACTTGGGTTTGATCCCCAGAATCATAAAATGAAAAATCTCTACGACACGAAATAAGAGTTAAAAAAAAAAAATTCCTAGCATAGCAAGACTGTGATGGGGTACTGAGAAGAGCTTGGCGGCACGGCTCTGCAGGGAGCATGAGTTGTTTTTTTACTAGGGAAGCTCCTGGTCATCTCTATGAGGAATCATAAAGCTCTCCTTACCCAAGATGCAGCAAGAACTTGCCCCATGCTCCTCTGCAATGAGCTTGGGGAGGGGGAACCACCTGCCTAGGAGATGCACAAAGGTGGTACCTGACACTAGGCTGGCTATATCCTCCGGAAAGTCTTCTGGCCTCAACACTTTCCACGGGTAGGCTCTGCTACTGCCAGGTATCTGTGCCCCAAGTATCCCTGTGAGCAGAGCCCAGGAGGCTGCTAGTCTATGCTTTCAGAGACCAGTACAGGCTTTCTTGAAGCTGGGAGAAAAGTGTTTTCTGACTTCTGCTGCTTCTCATTTTCCCTTCAGCCAGCACTTTCTCAAGTTCAGGCTATGCCAGAGTCTAAGCACTCATTTAGTTCTTTGCTGTGCCCCCTAAATGCTAATAGCACCCAGTAAGGGTCCCAAAATGTGTTGGGTGGGTGGCTCAATAAACAAATAATGAATATGAAATGTGGAAAGTGAGCCCAACTACTTCCTCCAGGATTCTGCATCCCCAGGGGTTCTAGAAGATGTAATAGGAGGACAGACAGTCTTACCTGAGGGGCATAGCAGGACATGGGATGATGACAAGGCCCTGAAGGTTAGCGAATCCACAGGGCACCAACTCTGTGGCCACACCCCACCGACTTGAGACACACCAGCCTTTTCTCCTTTTCTATGGCTCCACAGCCACCAGCGTATTTCCCAAGGCAGGGCTGGCTGATCATAGCCCAGGGTTGGTGATGACAAATATAGCCACCCGCCATCCCAGCCTTCCTACCACTTGACCATATCTTTCCAGAGCTTCACCTGCTACTCCTACTTGCAAGCCAGAAATACAAGCCAGATCATGACAGGGTCCCTCAGAGATCTGGCACCTTTCCCTGAAAGGTACAATCCCTCCCCTACCAGCCTCCCACCCCCATGATTTTTTTGGTATGGGATTGAACTTGGGACCTTGTGCTTTCAAGGCAGGTGGCTGAACCACTGGGCCCCCAGGCCACCAGCCCCAGGATTAGACTTGCTGTGACAAGATCACAGGTCAGTTCTCTTAGAGCTGTTTTTCCTTTCCTGGAGAATAGTCTATCTCTGTGTATTTTCCTGGGCCCCTGTCCCTAGAGCCCACGCTGGGCCTCCAGTGTAGCTCAGCTAAATGGGAACTGAACTTTGTGATAAAGAAGGGTCAAGACTTTTCTCTCTTCAACCACACTTTCTGGTCTATGGGTTTTGTCTTTCTCACAATTGAGGAAAGGTGAAGGGTTTGCCCAAGGTCACAGGAAGCATACCTGGGACCTGTCAGCCAGGGCTCCTGAGCCCTGCAACCCAGCCCCTCAATCCCAGAAGAACCTCGGCTGGCCTCTCGCTAAAGGTAGAGGGTGCCGTCTGACCTCAAGGCTTGGCTGGAGCCAAATTGTGCAGCGGGGGCGGGAAGGGGGGATGGGAGGGACAGATGGGACTGAATAGAGCAGTGGGGCTTTCGCTTCGCAACGCCTAGCAAACCCTGACACCCAGTGAGATGCCACGCTAACGGGGCCAGTTGACGCCATGCACGGGGGAAGCAGGGCGATTACAGCGGCCGCTAAGGAGTGCGGGTCCGCAGAGTGGAAACTCAAGGGGCACGAACGTCAGATGAGAAGGCCAGGAAAGCCACTTGAGCTCGTTCCGGAACCGAACCCTTCCGAAGCGCGGGGAACTGCATTCGACCGACCCCGAGGGGCCACTACTTGGCCTGCTCACCGCCGAGACCG